GTATTCACACCCCTTGACCTTTTCCGTATTTTGTTGTGTTACAAAGTGGGATCAACATTTATTTAATTGTCACTTTTGGTCAACGATCTACACAAATACTCAGTAAAATGTATGAAAAATAAAATATTAGATAAGTATTCACCCTTCTGAGACAATATATGTTAGAAACACCTTTGGCAGCATTACAGCTGTGAGTCTTTTTGAGTAAGTCTCTAAGAGCTTTGCACACCTGGATTGGACAATTTTTGCCCACTATTCTTTTTTTAAATTCTTCAAGCTGTATCAATTTGATTGTTGTTCATTGCTAGAAATACATTTTCAAGTCTTGCCTGTAACTAGGCCACTCAGGAACATTCAGTGTCGTCTTGGTAAGCAACTCCAGTGTAGATTTGGCCTTGTGTTTTAGGTTATTGTCCTGCTGAAAGGTGAATTCGTCTCCCAGGGTCTGTTGGAAAGAAGACTGAATCAGATTTTCCTCAAGGATTTTGCTTAGCTGCATTCCGTTTTTTTCATCCTAAAAAACGTCCTAGTCCTTGTCGATGACAAGGATACCCATAACATGATGCAGCCACCACTGTGCTTGAAAATATGAAGAGTGGTACTCAGTGATGTGTTACATTGGATTTGCCCCAAACATAACGCTTTGTATTCAGGACAAAAAGTTAATTTCTTTGCCACATTGTTTAGCAGTATCACTTAAGTGCAAACAGGATGCATGTTTTGGAATATTTATTTTCTGTACAGGCTTCCTTCTTTTCACTCTGTCATTTAGGTTAGTATTGTGGAGTAACTACAATGTTGTTGATCCATCCTCAGTTTTCTCATATCACAACCATTAAACTCTGTAACTGTTTTAAAATGACAATTGGCCTCATGGTGAAATCCCTGAGCAGTTTCCTTCCTCTAAGGCAACTGAGTTAGGAAAGTTAGGAATCTTTGTAGTGACTGGGTGTATTGATACACCATCCAAAGCCGAATTAATAATTTCATAATGCTGAAAGGGATATTCAGCGTCTGCTATAATTTTTTTATATATTTTTGGACATATCTACCAATCGGTGCCCTTCTTTGCTAGGCATTGAAAAACCTCCCTGGTATTTTTGGTTGAATCTGTGCTTGAATCTGTGCTCGATTAAGGGATCTCACAGATAATTGTATGTGTGAGGTACAGAGATGAGGTAGTCATTCAAAAAGAATGTTAACCAATGCAAATTATTATGTGACTTGTTAAGCACATTTTTACTCCTGAACTTATTTAGACTTGCCATAGCGAAGAGGGTTGAATACTTATTGACTCAAGACATTTCAGCTTTTCATTTTTATTAATTTCGAAAATGTTATACAGTAAAAATTCCACTTTGACATGATGGGGTATTGTGTGTAGATCAGTGACACAAAATCTCAATTTAATCATTTTAAATTCAAGCTGCAACACAACAAAATGTGGAAAAAGTAGAAAGGTGTGAATATTTTCTGAAAGTACTGTACAGCCTTCAGCATATCTTCTTGCAGCCTTTAACCCTGGTGAGGCTAATAGGCCTGAATAATATAGGCCTACTGCTCATGAGTTTTTATGATTTTGTGAAGAATAATGACAAAGTGAGGGTGATTATCACACACACTGTGGGGATTCACACCTGCCCAGGTGCTGTGTGTGTGTGTGTGTGTGTGTGTGTGTGTGTGTGTGTGTGTGTGTGTGTGTGTGTGTGTGTGTGTGTGTGTGTGGGTAATTAAAAGTGCTTCACGTGTGAATATTAAATCCTTCTTTGTTTTTCTCAAACGTTAAGATGACTGGAAATTAATAGATTACCCAATAAAATGAATATATTACTCACACGCCCTATCGAATGTTTGAAGAAATGTATAAACAAATTGTCCTTCCATGTGGATAAAGGTTCCAACCCCCCCTTGAAAATCGTAAAACGAAAACATGTCTTAAATAAGGAGTCACTCTAGCGACTACTTGTGGCAGGCCGGGCGCCTGCAGGCTGACTGCGGTCGTCAGTTGAACGGTGTTTTCTCCAACACATTGGTGCAGCTGGCTTCCGGGTTAAGCGGGCGGGTGTTAAGAAGGGCTGTTTGGCGGGTCATGTTTCGGAAGATGCATGACTCGACCTTCTCCTCTCCCGAGCCCGTTGGGGAGTTGCAGCGATGAGACAAGATCGCAATTGGGGAGAAAAAGGAGGTAAAAAAAAGAAATAAAAAAGATTTGTAGTTTAAATGATTTATCCAGAGTTTGTGAGGGCCTTGGTTATGTTCGCTTAACTTTTTTCTCGTCCATTTATGGGCCTTAAAAATGCAACCATTATGTTAATAAAAATATGCCTATTTATCAAAAACAAAACTCCTATCACCAATATAGATTCTGACCAATTAGCCGGTATAAGTAGTCTATTATTAATTAATTAAATTATTTAGTGAGAAAAAAAGCAATAACACATTTCAATGTACATTTCAACATAGTTTATTCATTCTGACTTGTGCTCCAGAGAGCTCGCATTGAGTTTTCTCCTCTCTCTTGTCTGAGAGGCATACTGCAGTGAACCTGCATTATTATATTATTATATATTATATATTATATTATTATTATATTATATTATATTATAACCTTGGATTCTAAACCATTGATTATACGCAGTGGCGATTTTAGCATGTAAATCTTGGTGGGGCAAAAAAAAAAAAAAAAGGGATGCATGCCAGCAAAGCCACTACACAACACAACACTAAACAATACAATAATTGCACTATAACAGTGACAAACGGTGCCCACATAAAGCTGTCCCAACAGCAAAGTCCCAACATCTTACCACTGCTACACCTGGCTATCAGCGGAGCCTTGTCTGGCAGCGAAACAGTTAATTCAGCCTCATTTACTGCCTTTAAAAAAAACATAGCTGTTATGGCTGACTTGCTTAAACAAATGTGGTTTCTAATGACAATTGAGATGTACAAACTATGGCATAAGGGGACGACAAGTGGATAAGAGGCAATCCGTTATTTAGATTAAGACATTAATGAGCGAGCTAGAACGGACATAGTCAATATAACTATTTGTTTAGCACTTTTGAAATGTACAGCGACAGAATTCAGAACATGGGCCGTTCTTACAGTGTTCTCCCTGTATACCAAGTCAGAACCGTAAGATAAATAAAGGGGGCATATAAGCAGACAATGAAAGCTCTTACAATATTCAATGATTACATTTCTCTAAAACAGGTTATAGGCTACATGTGCACCACCAAGTCAGAGCAGTAGGCGACATTAAGAGGGGTAAATAGACCAAATTATTAGGGTGAGGCACATGGGCTACTAACAGCTTACTACACAACATACACTTAGTATTACTTTCTTAGCTACAGTATACATATCTCCCTGGTATATTACATCATTTATGCAGCAGCATACAATACATTTTTGGACTCACCTTGTTGTGCTGTGCTCACTTGAACAGGAAGGTGGCGCGGCGTTCCTTCGTGGGCAAAGCTTGTCATCAAAGAAAGAGAAAGAGGCCGGATTTACAATTCCGAGTTGGATGACCATTCAAAAGTATTTTCCCAGTCGGAGCTCGTTTATTCCCGACTTCCCAGTTGTCTTGAACTCACTGAAGTCAAGTTTTCGCAGTTCCGAGTTGACAGTTGTTTTGAGTGATGCACAAATCATGCTTCATTGACAGAATGGCCAATGTTGAATGTTTATCATTTTATACTTGGAAAAGAGCCCCTTAATCCCAGATTTGGGACCACACAGCCACTGCTAGCTAAGATTTTGAAAGTATGATGTTGACATGATCAGTCCAATCAAAGCTACTGTACATATAACGTGATTTGACGTCATTTAGCTGTGGCCAATGACCTTGAGCCTTCTTGGATGGGCACTTCTAATGTAACTCTATGGCAGCACCCAATGGGCTTGAATTTTCTAGCTCTACCCTTAGACTTGGCGGTGACGTAGTGTCCCCTTGAGTGACAGAACACTGAGCCAATCACGGCGCAATGCACCATATTTTCTGATGGCTTGCCCCACCACCACAGAAAGCACTGAGTTAGGCTGAAACACCTGCATTTTGGAGCTGCCTTACTCAAGAAAGCAAAAAAGAGACCATGTTTGTATGCGGCTTTATTAACTCAGATATATATACTTTTTTACATTGTTTGCAAACTGATATGTGACACATATTAATGCCAAAATGATATGCAAAACAGGCACGCTAAAAATGTGGGGCTCAAAACAGGTGGGGTTCTGTCCCCCCCCCCCCCTGCCCTGAATGACAGGTCGCCACTGATTATACGGCCTTGTTGCTCAACAGGCCATTTAATTTCTGCACTTTTGTCCAAATGTACATCTCACCCAACCCAGATGCAACTCTCTTCATTATATTCTATACCCAAGTTAAAAAAAGAAATAAAAAATATTCTGGTGGTCCTGTCCAGTCCTATAATAAGGCTCCTCGCCCTTATGCATCAATAGCAGAATAATCATTCTGCACAGCCAATAGTGGTTAGAAACACTCACACATACACCAACCATATTTTTACCGCCTGTGCAGTCTGGAGTTAACCCATGTCATGGACAGTAAACAAAGAGGGTGTCTCCATGTGCAGCACAACTGTTGGACAAAGGAAATGTGAGACGGGAGTTGAAAGTGGCCACCAGGGAGCAGCAGAATGCTGGTTACAACTGCTAGGGGTCTGTGCGGTAGCCTACAACAACTGCAACAAATAAACCTAAAGGCAGCTCTCAACGATATTCTGTCTACATAATCAAAACTTTTCCTGAATATTTCTTATTAATCAGAATTAATTTGTTGACATCCAACTGAGTACTCGTTTATAAGATGAGGTCCCATAAAGGAATCGTTAGCAAGACATTCTGTTAATGAAGAAGATGCATCTACAGGTCATAGTTCGTCCTAGAAAACATTATTCTAAGGAGGAAATACTGTATATGGAAATAAAAAAGCAGAGTTCGTATCTAATATTGAGTATATCTTTATTTTCACTGTCCTGTTTTAATGAAAAATCTTTATGGTGATAGGCAGTTACGTTTAATGTATTATAATGTTGTTGTTGTTTTTTAAAGACATGCATGCTGGATGATGATGTTTCTATAATCCAAAAAGCAATAATGCACGCAACATTACATTTCTAGTGGAAATAATCATATATCCTATGAATATAAAATAATCATATGAATATTAAAACAAACACAAGACTAGGTGCATATACAATGGTTCAATAGAAGTTGGTTCAATACTAATAAGTTACTTGTTTAGACATACAGAGTACACTGTTGAGCAAGTTAATGATTTAATTTGAGCAAGATAATGATGCAATTCCTCATTCCTCTTAACAAATGCTAACACAGACCTACACAGCTATGACAATGCATATACAGTCCATATGATAATGTACTGGCCATTGAGACAAAGACTCATAATCACTGCAATAATAAGAGATTGTTTTATATAGGTCTGCTGTCCTCATATTCATGGATTGGGGTGAAATGGTAAAATCAGTAAGGTGGGGTATGTGAGCCCATCTCCCCCCAGTAGGTTAGGCTAAGACCCTCAGACAGGCTGGTACTTCTCTACCCGCTCCAGCAGAGTCTCTGAGTAGCCGGGGGAGTAGTACCTACAGCAAGAGGACAGAGGACACAATTAGGGTTCACTTGGGGCTGAGGGAATGCCTGGTAGTAGAAACATGCTAGATTAATATCATGTTTTTGAGTGTGATTGTGTGTGAGTACCTGACTATCTCCTCAGGGTAACAGTTGTTGATAGAGTTGATGTACTCCTGCAGGGCAGATCCAGGATCAGCCTTAATCTCCTGAACCTTCTTCAGGCCTCCGCTGGTCACAAACAGACGACGAGCCTTGCTGTCATGGGGCAGCACCTGGAGAGGGGGAGAGGAGGGGAGGGGGGGAGGATACAAGGAATACAATGCACTGGACTTTGAAACCCTGGGCTGTCTGAACCAAACCTTTAGGGCTGGTTTCCCAGACATAAATTAAATCAAGTCTTGGACTAAATTGCACTTATAAACTGGACTGATTAAAATTGTATTTCTCAAACATGTTTAAAAATAGTCCTAGACTTATCTGTATTTAAACATTCTGATTTTCAGAAAGAAAATAGTATTAGGCTGTGTGGGGCCCTTGTGGATATGTTCTGTGATACCTAGTAGTCTGAAGAGGCCTATGCAAATAAGTGTTGAGAAATGCGCCCCCACCTTGCTGAACTGGCAGACAACGTGTTTCAGGATGTTGCTGGGAGCTTCGTAGAGCAGGGGCTCCAGAGCAGGCAGGTAGGTGCACTTCTGTAGGATGCTCTTCAGAGCCTTCTTAGCCTGGGGGACAGGAGGAGGGAGGGAGGGAGGGAGGGGGGGGAGGGAGGGAGGGAGGGAGGGAGGGAGGGAGGGAGGGAGGGAGGGAGGGAGGGGGAGATGTCAGGACTCAGGATGATACAGGATATGTTATGGTCTTACTGTCTGCAGCTCTTATGACCCTCAGAATTGTTTAGTAAGATCTTCAGTAGCATCCGTGCCTACTACACAGGCTTCTGGTAACCTGTGACAACATTGACCTATGACCTGTGACCCTACCTTGACCTGCAAGTCCTCAGAGCTGTCTGTGTCCATGCAGAGGGCCAGCAGCTTGGGCAGGACGTTAGCTGTGGACACGGCCCTGGCGTGCTCCGGGGTGTGGCGGCCGATCTGGCCAAACGCCCACGCTGTGGCCGCCTTGATGTGTTCCTCTGGCTCCTCAGACAGACAGATGGCCAGCTGGGGCACCCCCTACAGGGCCGGAGGAGCAACAACAACCAGGGAGGACAGGCTGAGGCGAGAGGTTATGAAGGAGAGGGAAGGAGGAGGAGGAGGAGGAGAGAGGTAATGAAGGAGAGGGAAGGAGGGAGGAGGAGAGAGGTTATGAAGGAGAGGGAAGGAGGGAGGAGGAAAGAGGTTATGAAGGAGAGGGAAGGAGGGAGGAGGAGAGAGGTTATGAAGGAGTGGGAAGGAGGAGAGAGGTTATGAAGGAGAGGGAAGGAGGAGGAGAGAGGTTATGAAGGAGAGGGAAGGAGGAGAGAGGTTAAGAAGGAGAGGGAAGGAGGAGAGAGGTTATGAAGGAGAGGGAAGGAGGAGGAGGAGGAGAGAGGTTATGAAGTAAAGGGAAGGAGGGAGGGAGGAGGAGAGAGGTTATGAAGGAGAGGCAGGGAGCAAGAGCAAACACCTTGGAGACAGTGCACACACAAACACACACACACCTTGGAGTCATACACAGTACACACACACCTTAGACACGATGACGGCCATGGCAAGGTTTTCAGAGTGAGCGGCCACATATCCAAGCATCATGATCCCAGGTAACCGCACGTTACCACGGCAATCACCCAGGTAGTCAATCACCGCCGCCACACCACCCGCGTTCACGATCATCAGAGACAGCTGTACACACACACACATTCAGTTGAAGGTAGGGATATAGGTGAGAATATGGTTTGGTACCTCTAGTGTGTGGTGTGTTCGGCGTAGATGAATGTGTGCTTTGAACTGTGGTGTGTGTATCGTCTGTGTACCTCTGACGTTTGGTGTGTGTGTGTACCTCTGATGTTTGGTGTGTGTGTGTACCTCTGATGTTTGGTGTGTGTGTGTACCTCTGATGTTTGGTGTGTGTGTGTACCTCTGATGTTTGGTGTGTGTGTGTACCTCAGGTGTGTGTTTCGTGATCTCTCTCATCAGTGTGGTGACATTCTTCCTGACATACTCGTCTGGGTCTCGGAGGCAGGCCAGGACAGCAGGGAAGATCTCTGCCTCCACCACCATCTCAGCCAGGTCCACCGAGTGCTTACTGATCTGACTCAGGGCAGAGAACACCTGCCTCTGAATGGAGAGGGGAGGATACAGGGGAGATGGGGAGGGAGAGGAATTGAAGAAGAGCAGAGGGAGGAAAGAAAGAGAGCGGGATGCAGGGTTTTAGAGACGACTGTAACATCTAACCTAATCTCGTTTATGTCTCTCCACATGACATACAGTTAACCTGCAAACCTGTCTAGCTAGGCCTTATTTTGTCTCAGTGTTCCTGCCCCCTCACCTTCAGTTTGGCATCAGGGTTGAGGATCATCTGGGCCAGGTGTGCGATGGCGCCGGTGTCGACCACGGTCTGAGCTAGCTCAGGGGAGTGCTTGGCGATGTCGCTAAGGGCAGAGGCAGCAATGCGTTTCAGGGCCACCTCTGGTTCCTGGATACACAGCACCAGCAGAGGAACGGCCCCCGCGTCCACTACCGCCTGAGACAGGTCTACATACAGAAAGGGCAGGGGTGTTGCTATGTGTGTGTGTGTGTGTGTGTGTGTGTGTGTGTGTGTGTGTGTGTGTGTGTGTGTGTGTACTATATCCTTACGTGCGTTGTGGCGTGCAATGTATCCCAGAGCCCAGGCAGCAGCCTCCTTGACCCCAGGGTCAAACTCCTCCAGAGAGATGACCAGAGCGTCCAGCGCTCCACAGTCTACCACGGCCTGGGCCAGAGCAGGGCTGTGCTTGGCCACCGCACGCAGCACAAACGCTGCTGCCTTCTTATAGAACCTCTACACACACACAAAGACACACACAAACACACACACACACAGATGGGAGAAGAAAATATGTAATGCACAATTAGCAGATGCTCTTAAGAAAGAGTATACATTCAGAGCAGTGGCCAACCACCCAGATCCCTATGAGAAGACAGATACCAGATAGAGAGAGAGGCCCCGCTGTGGTGTGAAGGGTACTTTAGGCTCTGCAGTGGCCCCCTTCCCAGGGCAGAATGCCAACACACTCTCAGTGTCAGGGACACCATTCAGCATGGTGAATGAGGGAGGGTATGTAGGTGTACACACACACACACACACACAGAGAGAGAGACATACGTTCTGCTCGGTCAGGGAGTAGACGAGCTGTGGGAGGATGTCTCCATTGACGATGGCCTTTGCCAGGTCGTCATTGTAGTTGGCCAGTCGTCCCAGAGCCAGAGCAGTTGTCTGCTGGATGGTAGGAACCACATCTAGCAGTAAAGGCCTCAGCAGGGACATCACACCTAGAGGAGGGACAGGTATGGTAGGGAAGGAATTGTGTCTTGTTATAAGAGCTAACTCTAGCGATAGAAATGTGATCAGAAGCACATCCATGAAAAAATGATATTGGTTTTAGGAAATTATAGAGAAATTATAGAGAAAGTCCCAACTTACCAGCATTTTGTAAAGTTTCAATGTTTTGTGGTCTTGTTGCAAGCTCAGCAATAGTCTGCACAAACTGTGTCCTTGATTTCTGATACTGCTCAAACACTAAAAAATAGATCCATTAATATTTCAACAACTGATCAATCTGAGTCATCATGTTTTTCAAGTTTTGCCTGGCACTGATTGGTGTTCAATCAAAACAGTCTTGAAAACAGTCGTGAAAACTTGCAACTTCGAATGATCTTACCTTGTAAAACCTGTCGTTGACTCATTATTACAATTTGAGAAAAACAAAACAAAAAAAACGCCACTTTTCTAATAAATATGTAACCGCAACAATTATATTGTCGCTTGTGAGTTTTCCCTGAAAGCAGCTGCAAACAGTGCGGTGCAGCATCTGTCTCACTCGCGCAGCCTCAAGTTTGGGTTAGCTTGTTACTGTTGCCCTAGCAACAAACCGGAAGCAAAAACAGGTTGCGCCACTGAGCTATAACAAAGATTATGGATATACTGACAAGATACATGTCTCTTCGCCCTCACAATGGGAGTCGTTGTCCACAAAGCGGCACGGAGGGCTGTCTCAAAGATGTGTATAACTAAACCAAGATAGACCACAGCCTGTCGTTTCAAATGGGAACAAACGAGTCATAGTGGGCAGAACAAGCAAGGAGGTGGGCAGAGCCAAGCACGAGCTAGCGAGATCCTTTTGGCGCGTTCTAGCTACATTTGCATTTACATCCTACTCTGTGAATTGCGCGTGTGCAATAACTCAATTCGCCTTTTCATTCCTTCTAAACAACGCATTTTTTTTTTTTTTTGGCAAAGGGTAATGTATACAAAACTTAGACTGCTCTGTTCGTAACATATTCTAGTTTTGGAAACAGAAAACTGTATTGAGATCAAACGTTTCATCGATGAGAAAATTAGCAGAATGTCGGCCAAAATCCATCTCGTTCTATCTTCTCCCACTGCCAGCCACTGGGCTTCCTCTCACTACCATATTTGGTAGTGAGTGGAACCGCCAATCGGATGCTTCACATTTATACATCCGTTGAAACATCTGTCTCATTGTTCTATCTGTGGCTGTCTAGCTCCCGCCTATCCTTTCTTTGGATGGGTGGATACATCTCATTATTGTAAATCTTGTTTTGAATATTCAATGAGGTTTGTTGACGTCAACCGCCTGTATTCAATGAATAGAGATGCTATGCTACTAGCCCCATTACATGAATATGCATAGCCATCTAGAGACAACGCTGATATATAGTGTTTTTTCTCAAAGTTGCCGGGATGTCACGTGTTCTACTTATATCAACACACTCGTAACAATTTAAGCATTACACTCTCATTGACCACCATACAAAAACTCTTGCTTGGTGGGCGAAGCAACGAAAAAACGCCGCCTGCTGAAGGGAGGCATATTTTCCTCCGAGTTGGGCCTCTCTCTTCATCTTCCTCTCCGCACTTTCGCCTCTGGGCGGTGCTATACTTCACGGTGGGCGTAGATTTCAGCGCGCATACGGGTGCACACAGTGGTCTTGTTCGACATTAAAGCTGACAGTGCAGGCGACTGATCTACAAAGAACCTTCCATAATAAATAACTACTCATTATTATGTGTAGATCAGTCAGTCAGAATTTACCCTTGATACATTACGGTTTTGATCCTCTCGAACACGGACAAAGTCGAGAACGAGCCGAGCACTCGCTCATGTCCGGATCCTGGAATCTATTCAACACACAGCTAAACCATAGAGACTGGATGTGTATGGCTCCAGGATAATGGTAAAGTTGGCCTCATGTATAGGCCCTAGAACAAATAAATAAGATCAAATGAAATGTTATTTGTCACGTGCTTCGTAAAAAAAACAGGTGTAGACTAACAGTTAAACGCTTCCTTAAGCGTCGTTTTCCAAAAATGCAGAGTTAAAGATGCATATATATATATAGACTGTATATACAAGAGTATGTGGACACTCCTTCAAATTAGTGGATTTGGTTATTTCAGCCACACCCGTTGCTGACAGGTGCATAAAATTGAGCACACAGCCATGCGATCTCCATAGACAAACATTGGCAGTAGAATGGCCTTACTGAACAGCTCAGTGACTTTCAACCTGGCACCTTCATAGGATGCTACCTTTCTAACAAGTCCATTTGTCAAATTTCTGCCCTTCTAGAGCTGCCCCAGTCAACTTTAAGTGCTGTTATTGTGAAGTGGAAACGTCTAGGAGCAACAATGGCTCAGCCGCGATGTGGTAGGCCACACAAGCTCACAGAACGGGACCTCCGAGTGCTGAAGCGTGTAAAAATAATTTGTCCTTGGTTGCAACACTCACTACCAAGTTCCAAACTTTAAACAGCTTGAAAAATTCAGGAAAATGATGTCATGGCTTTAGAAGCTTCTGATAGGCTAATTGACATAATTTGAGTAAATTGGAGGTGTACCTGTGGATGTATTTCAAGGCCTACCTTCAAACGCAGTGCCTCTTTGCTTGACATCATGGGAAAATCAAAAGAAATCAGCCAAGACCTCAGAAAAAAAGTTGTAGACCTCCACAAGTCTGGTTCATCCTTGGGAGCAATTTCCAAACGCCTGAAAGTACCACGTTCATCTGTACAAACAATAGTACGCAAGTATAAACACCATGGGACCGCACAGCCATCATACCGCTCAGGAAGGAGATGCGTTCTGTCTCCTAGAGATGAACGTACTTTGGTGCGAAAAGTGCAAATCAATCCCAGAACAACAGCAAAGGACCTTGTGAAGATGCTGGAGGAAACAGGTACAAAAGTATGTATATCCACAGTAAAACTAGTCCTATATCGACATAACCTGAAAGGCCGCTCAGCAAGGAAGAAGCCACTGCTCCAAAACCACCATAAAAAAGCCAGACTACGGTTTGCACTTATTTCCCTCATTAAAATGCAAATCAATTTATAACATTTTTGACATGCGTTTTTCTGGATTTTTGTTGTTGTTATTCTGTCTCTCACTGTTCAAATAAACCTACCATTAAAATTATAGACTGATCATGTCTTTGTCAGTGGGCAAATGTACAAAATCAGCAGGGGATCAAATACTTCTTTCCCTCACTGTATATCGACATAACCTGAAAGGCCGCTCAGCAAGGAAGAAGCCACTGCTCCAAAACTGCCATAAAAAAGCCAGACTACGGTTTGCAACTGCACATGGGGACAAAGATCCTACTTTTTGGAGAAATGTCCTCTGGTCTGATGAAACAAAAATAGAACTGTTTGGCCATAATGACCATCGTTATGTTTGGAGGAAAATGGGTGTGGTTTGCAAGCCGAAGAACACCATCCCAACCGTGAAGCACAGGGGTGGCAGCATCATGCTGTGGGGGTGCTTTGCTGCAGGAGAGACTGGTGCACTTCACAAAATAGATAGCATCATGAGGAAGGAAAATTATGTGGATATATTGAAGTAACATCTCAAGACATCAGTCAGGAAGTTAAAGCTTGGTCGCAAATGGGTCTTCCAAATGGACAATGACCTCAAGCATACTTCCAAAGTTGTGGCAAAATGGCTTAAGGACAACAAAGTCAAGGTATTGGAGTGGCCATCACAAAGCCCTGACCTCAATCCTATAGAAAATGTGTGGGCAGAACTGAAAAATAACTCCTGTAGCTCAGTTGATAGAGCATGGCGCTTGCAACGCTAGGGTTGTGGGTTCGATTCCCACAGGGGGCCAGTATGAAAAATGTATGCACTCACTAACTGTAAGTCGCTCTGGATAAGAGTGTCTGCTAAATGACTAAAATGTAAGGAGGCCTACAAACCTGACTCAGTTACACCAGCTCTGTCAGGAGGAATGGGCCAAAATTCACCCAACTTATTGTGGGAAGCTTGTGGAAGGCTCCCCAAAACGTTTGACCCAAGTTAAACAATTTAAAGGCAATGCTACCAAATACTAATTGAGTGTATGTAAACTTCTGACCCACTGGGAATGTGATGAAAGTACAAGCTGAAATAAATAATTATCTCTACTATTATTCTGACATTTCACTTTCATAAAATAAAGTGGTGATCCTAACTGACCTAAAACAGGGAATTTTTACTAGGATTAAATGTCAGGAATTGTGAAAAAAATACGGAGTTTAAATGTATTTGGCTATTTGAAGTCGGACGTTTACATACACCTTAGCCAAATACATTTAAACTAAATTGTAAACTATGTATAGGCTAAACACACCATAGTTTAATTTATGAATGAGGTCCCAGGCGGAGGGTTCACGGTTGAACGTGGACGCGCATCGTACAGTCCTTGCACTTTGACTTATAGCACCGGCGACCGACAGAAATTGCGTGAATAGTGTGCCCCTTCTGCTTCTGTTTCCATTGTCTCACTCCCGCAAAAATATATTGCCCAAGTGAGAGAGAATCGGTATGCTTTTTTGGTGAAAGAAGCAATTTAGTGGTAGCTTACATGCACTCACACCTTTACGCACATCAAAAACAATAATTATAGAATAACAGCATTGTTACTTTGAAGCTACACTGAAATTTGAACAAACACAAAAGTTTGCAACAATATAGCCACCGTGGTGGGATATCATGTGGTGCAACTGCATCGAACCAATAGGCTTATAGGCTTTACATTTACGCAGTAATAGATAGTTCAAATAACAACAACATGCTTAGTCTATATGGCGACAGAAAAATGCTATGCCATAGCCTACATCAAACATTAGGCTATAGGCCTAGCTACGGTTGTTTGTAAGTACTTTTATGCTGAAATTAAGCTTTATGCTAAGGAAATTAAAGTAAGATGATAATTGTTTAGATATATATTTGTATCTTCAAAAGTCTGACATGAATGACAAGTTTTGATTCCCTCTACTCAAACCTGCTTTAGGGCATCAGAGGAGCTGAGAACAGCATGACAGAGGAGAGTGCTGAGGGGAAAGTGAAGACGACTAACTTTCAGGAGACTGTTGTAGCAAAGACAGTACAGTATGAAGACAGGCAAAAACTGCCTCTCCAATAGAAAAACTTGTAGGCGATGTCATGGCGACGTTGACTAGCTAAGCTCATGCGTAGAACAAGTCACCGGGTCTAACGGTCGTTTGGCTCCGAACTGCGCATGTGGAGGCCGTCAAATCAAAGGCTCTCGATATAAAGTTGTTTTTACGAATATTAAAATGTTTCATTTTGTCACTTTCACGAGGTTGGGGTAGTAACATGCTCAACTACTTATGACATTGGCTTGAATCTAGCTTGTGCCTTTAGACTTTGAGAAAATGAACATCTAAGGAATAATGTTTCACTTCTGCCATTGACTTTTCA